GCTGAACTGTAATCTACTTATATTATTGATTTGATGTTATTTAAACAACATTCATGTTGTTCATAACACTGATTCATTCATTCATTATAATGTATATATAATTGTAGAGCCTGATGACGAAGTTATCGAAAAGAGTATTCTTTGTTCAGTATCCATTCTTTTGAATATATGTAATCCGTTTATTAAGCATCTGTTTCTGTGTAAATATATATATTATCAGTTTATACACGATATTTCATGAAAATCTCATGACGAATTGTTGAATTTCCATGACCAAAATAAGGAGGAGAACCACCTATAAATTTAGGGCATGCAAATCAATAAATTCCCAGTTAAACTTTTTTTTAAAAAAAAACTAAATTCGAAGGCTGATAACTTTCAGTTTTTTCATGTTATAAATATAAAGCGTCCACATTCATCCAACCTGTAACCATAGTAACAGGTAATTTAAGCCTATAAACATTTTTTTTAAAAACTATATCAATAATTCTACTATTGGACTGAATGCACACACGCCTTTCTCATTGATGCAATATTATTATTCGCTGTAAGTCACTTGTTTACAAAATAAACAATTTAAAAACGGAACGATATTCAAACTCAAACGTTGTAAGTTTTCATGTCTTAGGTTAGATAGAGAATCATTGGAAACTGGAAAAGATTGGAAAGCTGTTTGCTCACCACCGAGAGAGAGTTCCAAACTAGGTTATGGAGAAACGGTTGTCCACTTTTCTCTCTCATATACTTTGATTTATCCCCTGCAGGATAACCACTATTGTTTAGCTTTAAGTGTGTTGGGGCCAAGTTGTGCGATCATCATCATCAACCCACGAGATTTACCGTCGCGATTTACTTACGACAGATAGTTAGTTGGACGATCTATTTGACCTACATCTTAGAACTAACTCATCGCAACAAATCCATCAAGTTAATAACACTTCTGGTAGTAATCACTCTCTCTCTCTCTTTCTCTAAATGTATCCGCTGCACGACACTTGTTTCGATTCGGTGAGGAAGTACGTATCAGTCTCCTCTTGACTGCTAACGAGTTTAAATAAGTATGCTCTCCAGGTAGAGGGCATTCTGTATTTAAACAATTAACTCTAGGCAGCGTCTGGGAAGTACCATCAGCCAATGCCAACGGGTTGATCTCTGACGAAATCTCAACACGAATACAGAGGGCTAGTTTCGCATATGCCAGTTTACGCCGTCTCTGGCGTAGATGTGATATCCGACTATCGACCAAAGGGCGTGTGTGTTGCTCAGCAGTCCGCTCCGTCCACCTTTATGGCTGTGAGACCTGGCCATTGAGAGCAGAAGACATGAAAAGGCTGGGTAGCTGTCTTTGATCATAGGTGTCTGCGTTCTATCTCCCGTGTGATGTGGTGGTATAATAAGGTGAGCGATATTCAGGTTAGGCATCGAGTGCTAGGTAAGGAGGGGAAATCAGTCGACGAGACTGTGAAATTACATCAATTGAGATGGTTAGGAAATGTGTTACGTGTGCCAAGTCATCGCCTCCATCGACGGGCAATGTTAGCTGATATAGGGTCAGGTTGGAAAAGAGCTAGCGGTGGTCAAACCAAAACATGGCTTCATCAGTCAGTGAAATCCACAACCGTTAGTTGAAGCCAGCCACGTAGGAAGGTGTAGACTGGCTTCCTGGTTGGGGTCCTCCGGGCGGTAAAAACCAATGGTTGGAAACAATTGGTGACATGGCTCAAAATCGTTCTCAATAGCTGGCGCAGATGCATCCACTCCTTGTGACTTATGATTTCCAATGAAATTGTTTTGTTCTTCGTTATTACTATTCCTTTGTCTCACACTTCTGTTTACTGTCTCTATTATGCATTTCTCCTACTTTCTTCTCTTGCTTTGTGTGCTATATGAAGGGAGTGTGGCGACTTGAACTGCCGCACATATGTGCAAAGTTCTATGTCGAGAACAGATAGACAGAGAGAGACAATTAACTCTACTTGAATGAAAGTTTGTAGTCGCTCACCTGTAAAAATAAAAGGGTAATCTCACATACTACTTAGTCACTCAGTTTTTAAGTAGTTTAATATTCGAAATACCAGATTGATAGAAAAACGAGTGTAAAGGAAGTTTGAATTGTGACTGAAAGATTGCTAGCTGCTAGACAGACAACTGTCTCCTAATCATTCGACTGCAAATGATCATATGAACAACCAATTTATTTTTTCATTAACCCTAAATATGAGACCATTAATACTCTCTCTCTCTCTCTCTCAAGATGCATTAATTTGATCCATCAACACATGGTGACCAATGTCACGTGTTTAGTACTCAGTGATAATGCTGACTAGATTTTACGAGTCAATTTTACAATACGGTCATCAAACTAACGTAACTCGTCATCGAATAACTGACAGAATTTCGCCCAGCACCGACTCTCTGAGAACTAGACACATGACATTTGGTTATTCCGTAGTGATGAGTCAATGTATCTCATTTAGCCTTACAACAAGCAGTGAATTGTGAGCCTGTGTAAAGCTCAACAATTGAGGTTGGGGTGGCCGAGCGGTCTAAGGTGCCAGACTCAAGAGTAATCTTCTGGGTGTTCTGGCCCAAGATGTGGTCGTGGGTTCGAATCTCACCTCCGACACACGCTTGTGTGCGTCGGTGGCACAGCGGTTAGGACGCTCGCCGACCATGCACACGGTCCGGGGTTCGATCCCCGGCCACCGACGCACTCCTTTACCCCGCTAAGCCAGAACCAAAGCTGGTGAAGAGGAAAGGTTGGGCATGAGGCTAGCAACCCCATCCTGTAAAAATAAACACCACTGCTACTGAAACTTCAAGCCTGTAGCTTGAAGCCCTATGTTCCACTGGGAACGTGAAGGAATAAAAAAAGTTCAACAATAACGTCTCCGATTGCAGCACTAGATAACATGGCTTCGAATATCTAGGGAAGGGTGAGCATCCATCAATTCTCTCAAGGTTGCATATACACACTCCATTGACGAGTTCAAGTAAGCACTAAACCTAGACTGAGGGCTTTCTGTAGATTGCGTTTAACTGCCTTATCGCAAAGCAATAGTTAAGAAAAGCCTGAGACTTTCACATTTTTGTTATCGAAAAAACACATTTGTATATCTCCACGATGCCACGTTAAGTAAGGGATTTTAAAAAAACTTTGTTAAATCACTAATAATGCAACGTTAATGAAGCCATTGTGTTCACTGATAAAATTTGAACAGATATAAAGCAATCGTAAAGTAGTAGTACATTCTGACCTCCGACATACTCTCCCTCTCACACTGCCTTGCGTTCCGAGTGGATCATAGGTCTTCAAGTGCTTCAGCTTTGAAGTTTCCGTGGAGGTGTCCTTTTCACAGTGTGCGGTTGCTAGCCTCGACCCAACCATCCTCTTCTTTACCAGGCTTACAACAGACAAAACAGGCTTAGGAACACGTCAACCTGGAATCGAACTTCGACAGCGTACGTGGTTGGCGAGCATTCTGACTGACAGGTAAAATACAACTGTTAACATCCACCGGCTACCTGAAAATTGCCATGTTTATTGGCACAGCATTTTCATCCATTTTAGTTTATGCGTGTAGGACATGATCACTGTAAGTAGAAATTCTGAAGACATACAAGCATTCTGACCATCGGTAACTCCGTCCAACCGCCACATTGTTGAGTGCAACTAAATGTCAGGTATCAATGAAATCGGGTGTAGAATGTTAAGTAGGGAGGATACGTCCATCAAGGATAGGACTTCAGGTGAACATAGACAAAACTGAGGTGATGAAGATTCCTGGCCAACAGCAACAGCAACAGCAACAACAACATACAACAATCAGCATAAATGGAAGGAACCTGAAAGAAACAACCTCTTTTACCTACCTACCTAGGAAGCATCGTTTCAACCGCAGGCAGATGGAACTGACGAGGATATCAAAGCAAGAATCAGGAAAGCAAGAAAAACTTTCACTACTCTCAAGTCTGTGTGGAGGTCAACAGCACTCAGCATGAATTGAAAATAAGATCCGGATTTTCAACTCCAATGTGAAGTCAGTGCTACTATACGGATCAGAGACTTGGCGCATCATAAAGTGCACCTCAAACAAACTACAGACCTTCATTAACAGTTGTCTTCGCTCAATACCACTCAAGATCAGATGGCTGGCCAGAAAACATCAGCAATAGGGATCTCTGGCAATGAGTGAACCAACCAGGAACCGATCGTGAAATAAATAGGCAGGAAGAAATGGATGTGGATTGGCCATACTCTGAGAAAACAAACCATCAAGTGACATCACTAGACAAGCCATTGCTCGATTGGAACCCGAAAGGGAAGCGGCGAGTTGGTCGCCCAAGGGTGACTTGGAGGAGGTCATGTGAAGAGGAGATGAAAACGTGTGGGCAGACTTGGAGCCAGGTGAAGACTCTAGCAGAGAACTGGACGCAATGGAGACGTGTGGCTGAAGCCCTATGTTCCTCTAGGAATTAAAGGAAACAATAATAATACGTCCATCGGAGAAGTTACCAAACTTCATCCAATGATGTGACAAGCACGTTTGTTACGCACATCAATCAACTGTCTTTCAAGACAACAAATGTTATCTCTCTAGTCAGATTAACTTGCAAAACATACTGTCACTCCATGAAAACACTGACTATGGGAGTTGGAGTAGTCTGTCGACATACTGTCCCCAAGATGCTAAAAGATGCTTAATGGATAAACACCATTTATTGTGAAATGCCACAAGACCGTTCACAATGACGCCATATTCATATAAATCCTTCAATAATATTTTAAATTAATTATTCACTACATCGCACTCAGGCTTGTTTCTCCTCGTATTACTCCATCACTATCAAAATGCGACAATGTCAGCTGGGACACATTTCTGTGTAGAGTGGAATGCTGATCCACCCTTTCAGCGAAAAGCAAGAAGAAGAATGCTAAACTTCAGATACAGAATAACTCACCATCATCTTGACGTGTCAAATGGAAGGAAGACTGAATATATAAGACGAAATATGTATTTCATAATTTTTATCATTAAAGATGAAAATGCACACAGATAGAAAAATCCAACTAACTCTCTCTCTCTCTCTACCTCTCTACACAGTGTTATTTATTATATTACAACTCTACACATCCATACACACACACAAGAAACGACCAGAACGAATTCATACATTTACAACAATATTTAGAGGGGGGAAAAAGAAGGCAGGCTAGGGTAAGGATGAAATGTATTAGGGGATAAATGGTGTACTGGACTGTACTGTACTGTACTTTGAAGTGAAGTCGATTCATCCAGTCGTTAACGTTGCATTCAGAACAACTAACACGCGCCTTCTAACTACTAATAACATACAACAACTCAGAATAATAAAGATGTGAAGGATAAATCTACTAGATAATAATAACAATAATAATACAGTTGACAAAAAGGTGATTATCCTCAGTATTACAAGAATACATAATTAAGAAGCTAAATACTTTGAGTAAAAAAATTTTACGAACAGCTGAGCTCTATCTATACTAAACACGCACAAACACACACACACACGCGGGTGCGTGCGCGCCAGCTCGAGCACGCACGCACCTAAACAACAACTCTAGCAGATATGTATTATGTATGGTGTTCAACCTAACTGTTCAATTTTACGGCATATTTCTTTTGTATACTCCGAACAGGTTGAATGACCGCCAAGATCAGCTGTAAGGCACTAGAAAGAAGAAAAAAGAGAAACAGGAAGAAAATCAAGGTATATGATAAATAATCAGTTTGATGATTTAACTTCACACACATACACACAGAAAAAACTTCTTTGAACAAAGAAATTTGCAGGCTGGATGTAAAAAAAGGAGCTTATCTTTTGTATTGAATGGGTTTATTTATGTTACGACAGATATGCTTCTTTGTTAGCCGTGCAATCGTTATTTATGATATGATAACCTTATTTAGACACTTTTGATTCGCATTATATTTATGGCTTAATTTTCTAAAGGGAGTTAGATGTTATACAACCAATCAGAACTGTCTTATTTGTGTTGTTTAAATATTTTGAGGGTTTGGTAAATTCAACAGGCTGTGTATTTTTGTTTAATAATACGGTTGTTGTTTCACAGTCATCATTATTCCTAGTTGAACTTTAGTGTCGCTCGTTCAATGTCATGTTCTGAAGGTGTATATTCCAGTCAAGTTAGACGAAGACCACAACCCCACCAACCATCATCACACTTAGTCATAACAGTTGTGTCTTCGGCTGCTAACAGCAACAAAAGGTTAAATAAGCTACTTTAAGTAATCGTAAACACATAAAATACTTCAGAAATCATTATTTCGACTTGAGGAGCACACAAATCGGGTGGATAAAAATTTACAATTGACTAAATGATGACAGCTAAAGACAATAAAGTATCCTGCAGCTAAGCTCGTTCCCGTCTATCGAACAACTTGCTCTTTGATGCAATCAAAAATCGATAGATATCCTTTTCATGTTAACTCCAACTATATATACAAATTTATATGTATGTGCGGGAGCAGTTACATTGGAAGAACAGAAAGAAGAAGGGTATAATCTACGATTTTCTGAACATGTACCAAAAAGCTTACGTCTAAAAGGAACAAATGCTTTAAACAGTGCCATCGCCAGGCATCTACTCAACACGGGTCATGAGGTGGACGTGGAAAAGTCGTTCAAAGTTATCAATAGGCAAAAGAGCTCAATTCTCCTTAAGTTTGCTGAAGCCATTTCTATCAAGCGACTATAAACCTGATTTGTGCGTTCAGAAAGAAGCGGTTATCAGTCTTTCTTTGCCCTGGTAACTGGATATTTTTCATCTCTCTTTCATCTGAATGCGAGATGCTGAAAAGTTGTCATTGTGTATGATTATTATTGTTCGGAATAGTGTTTAATATTGCATATATATATGTATATATTATTAGTGATTTTTGTTTAAAATGAACTCTGTGCAAGTATGTTAAAATTGTTTTTGTAGATACATTTAATAATGTCTTTGCCCTGTAAGCAGCTGACGAGAAGGCAACGAAATAAAAGATGGTAACATTTTATTCTGCTAAAACTGTAGTTCTTGCTTTGTTCAAATTATTAAGAGATAAATGTATGAAGAATAACAGTCTACAATTGTAAGTCTTTACCAACTGATATGATTGTTTCATAAAAAACAATACTGATCGGGTCCCAGTGGCTTAATGGTCTACGACATGGCTCGCCTTGTAACCAGAAGGTCCTGGGTTCGAACTCCCTGTGGTGGGTGTGTACTGATGAAGAGTCCCAAACTAGGACGAAACAGCTGGCTGTCCACTACTCCCAGGTTCTCTAACCAATGTCAGCTCATGATGAAATCCTGTAACCAATCAACCAAATTCCTACAAACCAATACTTGAATACTAATTAAAGAAGAATTAATTTTTCAGTGGAAAATTATAACCACAACTTGCAGCTTATTTGTGACCTTGTTTTTGTCTCTTCATCTAAGATACACAGTGAGAATTTAAGGTTACTAAAATTCACTTCTAAAAATGTGAAGAATGAAACAGGCAGAGAGGACATAAATAAATTTCTACATCTCATGAACTGTTTGTTCGTTTGAACTGAATTAATTATCTGGGACAGATCATTCAAGTTATGCGCCTGCCTATATGAGCCACAGTTGTCCTGAGAAAGCTGATACTACTACTACTACTACTCAGCTGACCAGGATGAAGTAGAAAGGAACAGGACTCGAACCTCATGACCCATTGGTTAAAAGTCACATGATTAAGCTAATGAGCACAACATATCTATCTCATGAAATACCACTGTGTAAGGTTATGAGGTTAGTTGATCTCTGTGTCTGCTTTCAGACAAAACATAAATAGTAATAATAATCAGAGTTAAAGAGTCAGTCAGTCCAATGGAATGTGTACATATTACTAGAGACGCGTCTAAAACAGCAACAAAAAAATCATTAAAAATAAATTTTCAGGTTGAATTATTCTCAGAAATGAAAAGTTATATTCTGAGATACAAGTATGTTAGTCACCACTACAGGGAATGCATTTATTTTATAACGATCAGATTACCTAATCACTACGAACTAGAGATATAATATATCTGTCTGTTTTCGACATGCAACTCTGCACCGATGTGCAGCAGTTCAAGTCGCCACACTCCATAGAGCACACAAAGCAAGGGAAGAAAGTAGAAGAAATGCATAATAGAGACAGTAGATAGAAATATGAGACAAAAGGAATAGTAATATCGAAGAACAATATAGTTTCATCGGAAATTATAATTCACAAGGAGTGGATGCATCTGCGCTAGCCACTGAGAACGATTTTGAGCCATATCACCGATTGTCTCCAGCCAGTGGTTTTTACCGTCCCGAGGACCCCAACCAGGAAGCCAGTCTACACCTTCTTACGTGGTTGGCTTAAACTAACTGTTGTGCATTTCATTGACTGAGGAAGCCATGTTTTCGTTTGACCACCAACGGCTCTTTTCCAACCTGACCCTATGTCAGCTAACATCGCTCATCAAGGAAGGCGATGACTAGACATACGTAGCACATGTCCTAACCATCTCAGTCGATGTAGCTTCACAGCCTCGTCGATTGATTTCCCCTCCTTACATAGCACTCGAAGCCTAACCTCAATATTGAGATATAATATATATGGTGGGAGAAGTTCAGACGGCGTTAAAACGGCAAAGCTACAACAGTAACGTCATTTGATCAGTTATGCTTTAGTTACTTGCTCTCAAAAGTTTGACTTGTTCTGCACAAAAAGATAACTACATAACTGTAACAAAACACATTGCGTTTTGAAGAGTGTGGGCTGCTGTTATCACATGATGGAACTCGATTTCTCCTTGGGGTACCTGAGACATAAACAGCATTAGTGTTGCGTGACTGCACAGCCCAGGGGACAACCACTAGAAGCTAGTCATACACCGTCTCATGCTTGAATTAGTTTTTGGGGTTTCGCCCGTATTAAAATATTACCACCGACTACGGAGAGCCACAAAGTAAGACCGGAAGTGTGATTTTTAGGGTTGATTTTTTCTAACCACTCTCTTCCGGAACGGAGAGGTAGTATAACTGGCTTTCTGGTCATCTGACAGGAACAATTTACTGTTGTTACATTCCTATTCGGCAACAGTACAATTTCGGCTACAGAGTGTCGAACTTACACTAACTGCTTTTAGTCTAAGCGCAATCGCAACAACCTCCCTGGCAAGGTCGAACCTGCAGGGACATGAATTCCAGCCCATGTAACTTGTTGGGAAGTTGAGATAAGCCAGTCCAACCACCACATGAAGGTAGCAACTACCGGTTAGGAGGCAAATACACGGATAAGAAAAAGTATTCAAAGAGATGTGGCACATATTACAGACATGAATTAGTAACTAGTACATGGATAACGTCCTCGGCAAGAATATTGAGTCAAAAATTGACAGGTAAAGTTGCAATGAGGTGAAATAAACATCATTCTGAAACAATACAGAAAGCATGAAGGGAAGACGAAAGAGATACAGCACAAATAAATTCTGCAAATTAAAATTTCAATATAAGGTTTTTTTTATATATTCAGTCATTAACGTATACTATGTCGCCGAATAAACAAACAACTCTACGATTACATACTACATACTACTACATACTGTGTTTCACCATTACATGGAAAATTTCCCAGATGTCTTCAACCTGAAAACTGATCATCTGTCTGAGCAGAGGAATACAAAAATTGACATCTTATTATTTACTTGACAGATTTTTTTGTAAACACTGACAGCGGGAACAAAATTATCCAGCTATGAGTAAATTATATTCCATTCCTAGAAAAAAACTTCCTCCGCATTCGGAAAAATACAATTAAAATGTTTAATTATGATTATATGTATGCCTGACGAAGGGGAAGCTAAGTTCAATGTACACTGCACTGAATAATGAAGTGAAGAAGAGTGCCAGAAAGGACAAAAGGTAATTGTACGACGCACTAGCTGGCAACTGAAATAAAAGTCAGAGTATAGGTAAAAGAGACCTCAGAACATCATATCAGATAACCAGACTGCTCTCTATCCGGGAAGAGATAAACCCAGATGATGAAACCAATAAGAGATGTTCGATGGAACCTGATTACCAAGGAGCAGGAAGAGGAGAAACAAATAAAACGGTGGGCTGATCAATTTGAAGGACTCTTGAATCGACCATCACCTGCAACTCGCTCAGAAATACCAACAACAGCACGCACGAAACTGACAGTGGACACCAATCCTCCAACGAAAGCAGAAATACTGAATGCAATCAAGCTACTGAAGTCCAGTCGGGAAGACAGTAGGACAAGACGGAATTCCCCCCCCCCTAACCCGAAGCACTGGAAACGGACCAAGAGACTGCGGCAGACGTGCTCACGCCATTACTGCAAAAGGTTTGGAAGGAAGAAATGTGCCTACCGATTGGAAGAAAGACTGGCTACCTTGTCAAGCTACCGAAGAATGGCGACTTGGGCCTCTGCAAGAACTGGCGTGGAATCATGATCTTGTCCACACTCCAAGTAAAACATTAATTCGCATCATCCTGGAGAGAACTAAGGATGCAGAACTCCACCAGTTCCACCGGAATGAGCCGAATCAAGCCAAATCATGTGCTGATCGAATTGTAACTCTACGCATCATCATCATCACAGAACAAAGCATAGAATGACAGTCAAAACTCTACC